AGCGAGCAAACTATGTCCTACGAAACACTCACCACCTATTTGACTGAAGTAGAAAGAATACTTAATGATAGACCTTTAGTTCCAGTTTACGGCAACCCAGAACAACTCGAGACATTGTCACCCAATAATTTACTTTTGTTAAGAAAACCTCACATTTATCAGATTGAAATAAACCTACGCGAGCATTATTCCCGACAATGGCGACAAGCACAGCTGTTGGCGACTACATTTTCGCGTCGGTGGATAAAGGAGTATTTACCACTCTTACAGACGTGAACAAAATGAACACAAAGAAGACGAGATTTACAAGTTGGCGAACTAGTCTTGATTATTGGAGACAATTATGCACGAACTAATTAGCCTAAAGACCTAGTGGTAAGTATCGACCCAGGAGAAGATGGTCTAGTGAGACAAGCGAAGATCAGAACGTCGAAAGGTCTAATTATTATAGACATACGTAAAATTTGTTTATTAAATGGAGCAGACGACCGAACAGTAGAGGATAAAGAGACCTTTCAGAGTGACTGTGGCCAGAGTAAATCGTACCACTGTCACTTCAGAACGTTTTTACGTTAATATCTAATCAGCGAAAGTGAGGAAAGACATGCTGTCTTTGGGGGGCGTTGTTAAGTTTGTCTTAGGTTGTTCCTAACCGTTCCCTTTCCACTCTTTTGTATATTGTTTTATACTACTTATTTACATTCAGTAAGCAGTTGTATTCCTACCAATTTTCAAACTTATCTTGTAACGCAATTTGTACTGTAATATTCTGAAATGTTCACACATAAAGTTTATTTTACTTATGATTGTATTTGTCATTTTAATTAATGTACCTTAATCACTGTATTTTTTATCCACAGTTTTGTGTATTTGCTTAAACGCAACAGTTTCTAATTTGCAAATAATACAATTTTGAAATATATATATATATCGTAACAGATGCAAACGTTTACCATTTTCAACATGTAACATTGTCAAATTCATTAATACATGCCTTATTTTTGGCCTTTGTAAAATATTATAATTATGGACTTATAACTGTAGCGCCTGATGATGAAGTTATTAAAAACAATTGTTCGCTCAAATATTCTTCATTTTTATATATTCTAAGGGGATTTTTAAACTGCTGAAATCTAGTGAGCACCCAGTTGCACTGAAGGGACTCAATGAGTGCCTGAAGTATAGTGCGAAACTCACAAAAGCGAAAACTAATCTGGATTTTATCCGTAATTTCACTGTTACACACCGATATCCGAAAATCTATTGCAAATCCTTACGTCGATGTAAAATTAAACCTAATATTAAGTCGCTGAAAGGATATGCACTTAATCAAATCGAATCTCTTCAAACGTATATTGTTGAGTCAGAAAGGAATATTACACAGAGAATATATGCTGTTGAAGATCTTCCCCCAAACGGCTATTAAATTTAGACACAGCTATCAGGTGTCTTTTGTACTATCGTATGTTACAATTATTTTTTATGTTATTGTTACAGGAAGCCTTTTTATTTTTATACTTGAAGGACGCGTTCAAACACCTCAGACGCCTCACAAGTTGAGGTTTGCAACTAAATTTTGTGTATTATTCAATAAAGAACCACTATTGTAGACAAATCGTTGTTTTGAAAACTTCGGTTTTGGACGTATCTCAATCGGGTGATTTGCACGCTTCGATAGATCTAACACTAGGTAACCTACTGATCACGAATAAAATGAAAAAATTGCCTAAACGTTATTAATGCAACAATTCACGCTCAATTATAAGCAGTTAAACTTGAGCTTTTCTATGCTGTATGTGATTTACACTTAGTACAACATTGTTATTTACATAGTAATTACGTTCTCATTGAATACTTGTCGACATCTATGATGAAAAGTATTATTAAATGTGATATCCACTTACAAAACCCATGACGACATATCATGACGGTAACACTTTCTACACAGCAGGTCACTCACAGCGGTCCTTGTAGGGAAGACAAGATGAATGAATGTGTTGCATCTCAAACGTCTATCCTTTGAATCAGAATCTTTTACAGTAACTGGCATGATTTTGGACTGATATAGCTTCTTATCTTCATTGATTCGACACTGCTGTTGAGCATGACTTTTCTAGCCACCTCTTTTCTTAGTTCATGAGGTCCAACTAGAAGCCAGTAGCCATCCAATACGACACCATGCATCTACGATTGATATCGTACGTTTTAACTGTTTCTACATTAAATAAATAACTTATGGTCTGAACAGTCTTGTCAACTTTTGTATGAGAAACGAAATGTTGTAAATAGTCGAAAGTGTTGAACTTTATACTTGAATAGCATTTAAGTATGAAAGATTTCATAATTATGAGACTTGCTTTATCAAAACATCTTAGATAAAGACTTTTTCATATCATGCTATCAAAATAAATCAACCATATAGTTTTTAAATAATTCATGGCTTTACTTCCAGTACTCGTATGATTAAAGGAACCTTCAACACTAACGGACTCCAGGCGGAGTTGAGTAACAGGCGTAAGTAAGTAACTAAGTTAACACTAACGAACTCTAAATATGAATAGGATCAATGCACTACCAGAATTCTCTAAGAACGGTATAAAGCTACTGATTATTTAAATGTAATTGTGGTCATTATCCAAGTATATGTACACCCAAACCACAGTGTTCTTGAGTGCTGTTAGTTCGTTGATAATCAATTCGACTGGAAGTATGCTTATATATATCTCAAAATCAACATATTCTGTTTGGTAAGAATGCATTGTTATTAGTAGATGATAAGAAACGTTTGCAGTTTGAGTGTATTGAGCGTTTCAATGAAATGTCAAGTGATGATACTTTCCAGGTACGTTGAAAAGTTGCACATCTTCCAGAGTTTAACCATCAAGTGTGATTAGATTGGTGTTCTCCGTGTAGAGTTTAGGAGTCATGCTTTTTCCTTTGTATATGTTAAGGCCTACTGTTGCTGAGGCTGCTGCAACACTAGTTGCCTTCATCTTCATTATTATTAACATTAATGTTGTTGTTGTTATTGGATGGAATGCTACATTTCAACCGTTTGATATATCAATTCCAGATACACGTTACACTTCAAACTTCTTATTTACAGGTCAACCCGAAATTGTGCGAACTATATTCTGGCTTTAATGAAAACGCTTCCATCAATATCATTTCAAATTACCATATGACTGAAGAAAGAGTGTGCTGTTCATGTTTATCACGGTAAGACTAATAATAATAGTATTAATTAGAAATGTTTTGAATATCAATAATTAGGACCAATGTAACATGGTTTATATGATTGAGAGTAGTTGTGTTGATTTACTCGGTGAACTGAAATGACACATAACATTTGGGAATTAAAGTTGGCATAAAGAAAGAAGCAAGTGTTTCAATGTCAAGTTGATCGGTAGATCTGAGCTAGTGTTTACTGATAAATACATAGTGTGTCCATTGTCCATAGAAATGTCAGTCAGTCAGTCAGTCAGTAAGCAACGGTTGATAGACGTTACAGAAAAGTGTTAAGTGGGGTTTAGAAGTGAAGTAAGTTTTGTGTAAGTGTGTGTACTTGAAGTCCCAGTCAACATTCTCAGAACTTCAGAAATTTTAAAATGCCTTCACTAACAAAATTACTCATAATAACATCAACCTAAATGTATGAACTTCTATCTTCGAAGCATTTTTCTTCACTAATATGTTTCGAAAACTGCTTGGCACATCTGATGTTCCTAGAATCACTAATCCGTAAACTAGTAAGCATGATTAAATAAGAATCTTTATGGTAAGGAAATGGACAAGTTTACACTGTAGCAGTAGTTCGCACTAATGTAAGTATATCATATAAGTACATCGGTAACTCTTTCAAACAATTTTACTTTATACATTCTTCGTCTTCATCTTACATCCTTAAACGATTGTACATTCAATGTGATTTGTAAATGTTTTTTGTTTATTCATTTACTGACTACTGTACTGTAATTCACTATGTCTGACATTCTGTAACTAAATGTAAATAAACTATTCATTTGTTGTTTATCAAGTGTTGTTCTTTCAACAAAACTACTGAACAATGAATGTAGATTTTCTCCAGTCGAAAAGACAGTCCTATACATTGTAATTGATAAAACGATTGAATCTTTTTTTATTTCATGGATAATATGGAAACATTTGAACAATATGAAGAGAATCTTACGCGAAAATGTAGTTGATTGTAGAACGTGTACGTGATCCGGTGCGATTATCTTTGTGAATGACACCAGTTGACTGATTTCTTGAACCGTAACATTCAAATTAACGAACCTACTAGTCCTTCTTACGAAACCAATCTTGAACAAGTAATATTTCTAGAAGAAAACTATTCATTATTCAATTGTACTTCATTTATATTTGTTTCTTTGAATTAAGAAGCTATCAGCACTCACTAGCTAAGTGGGAAACGTGATGGCATTTGAAGCGAACGGTACTGGGTTCGAGTCCTAGAGTGAACATCAATTCTGAAGTGCAGTTGCACACAGCTGAAGAGTCTCGAATAGGACGAAACCCGCATCCTTAATTCCACTGCTAGCCACTATCCATCTTTGCATATAAATAGAATATACTTTTTTTGTTTACATTTGAGTTTGTACTGATTTCCGACGAATTATTTTAATAGTTCACTTTAAATAGGTAAACAATAGTCTATACTTTGTTTATCAACTTATAACTTACTTTATTAAATTACATCAAAAATGATCCCACTCAAGTAAATAAACAATGCAGAATTAGTTTTTTAGATTCTTTATGTTTACTTAATGAAGAAGAAATAACAGATCTTTAAACACTAACATGTAAGTACAATTACCATTATTCTTATTATGTTAATGATCCATACAACATTTAGTTCATCCTAGACATTAAATTTCCCTCTATTTATAAATGATCAATGTATAGTATAAATTTACATAATACTATTACAGTAATATGCATATTTGAAAGAAGAAAAAAGACCCATCTGAACATTAAAAATGTTTTTCGATGTAGCGAACCGTTTGATTTTCATTCTACTTGGAACCATATGGATGATATATCAGGTAATTTAAATCATTATCGTTTCATTAAAATATACCATACTTATAATAACTATTCATATTTATATTATGATTGACAATACGACTAAATCGAATCATTCGTTGATAATTACTTACCGTACCTACTTATGCCTGTTACATCTCATGGAGAATCATAAACCGCCCACCAGCACTCTCCATAAAACCCTGTCGTGGACAATCCTTTTCATATCTGCTTCCAATTCTCGACACAGTATATTCTTTAGCCTTTCAGTTTACCGTTTCTCTTTAGGATTCCAAGTTAGGGCGTCTCTCATCATGCTGATTGGTGATTTCCGTAATAGGTGTCCTATCTACATCCAACGTCTTTTATCAATTTCCTCTTCACCTGAAAACTGGTTTGTTCTCTCCCACAGAATGTTGTTGCTGATTGTATCTGGCCGATGGATGTTTGAGTATCTTGAGTAGATAACTATTTATAAATACTTGATGATAGTTGTAGTAGTTCTTCAAGTTTGATTTCCGTACAGTAAAACTTTCTTGACGTTCTTATTTGTTATATGAGTCTATTATTTGTGATTAAACAACTTAATAAATTAAGAAAATATTTGAAAACCAGACAGTGAATGTTCTTGTCTTACAGATATTTATCACAGAGAAAGAATGTATGACTTTTTTTAGTATTATCGGTAACTAGAATAAGAATGAGGACAACACTTTATGGTAGTGTATGAAATCGACACATCAATAGTTTGATAAGTTATCTTATCTTTCTAACTTTGTCTTTTAAATTAATTGGTAGTGAGTACAAGTTGTAATATGAACACATAAAATGTTGTGTACATAAACCCTGATCTCATTTTCTATATCGAACCAAACGCATATAGATCAGTTGTTTTCTAGATACTATTCAATGTTTTTTTGTTTTCAAAGTGTCTGGCAAAAGAAAAAAATATTCATTTCTAAACTACTTGTAGATATATTTTGATTGAGATCATGAACCGATTGATGTTAGACCACCATTTACAACCTGGAAACACTGGACGGCCGTTTCGTCCTATTGTGTGACTCCTCAGCAGTGCGCATCCACGATCCCGCCCTCAGGATTCGAACCCAGGGCCTTCAGTCTCGCGCAGTTAGACATTAACACCATTGGATGCTGGCTCAGTGATCCATTAGGTCAAGAATTTGCCCTAAACTGTTACTTTTAGATAGTTGATATGTCTTGATATACATGAAGCTTCGTTTCAATAATTCAAACCTCTTCTACTAATTTAAAATATAGAAACAACAATACAACATAACATATAACTTCAATCTGTACAATATCAGTAGTTGATTTAAGATTACATTGGTTAATGAACCATGATATAGACTTCTTTTTTGAAATATGTTTTATTAAGATCAAAATTATCATGAATTGATACCGTGAATCGTATGATTTACATTACATATATAGTTGAATTTCTTTATGGAACATTAATACGATTATCCTACTTGACCTTAACTATTCATCATATGTTGTGTACACCCCATTAAAGTTAATGAACTGATTCAAAAGCACAATGATTTTCTGAAGTCCATATTACGCTCTATTCCAAACAGGTAAACTAACATTCATTTCTTTATTGAGATCATGAACCGATTGATGTCAGACCACCATTGAAAATCTGGAAGCCCTGAACGGCCTTTTCGTCCTATTTAGGATTCCTCATCAGTGCATTCATGGTCACACTCGCGGGATTAGAACCCAGGGCCTTCAGTCTCTCGCGCGAACGCTTATCCTACTGAACCATGCGAGCGAGATCGTGGATGAGCACTGCTGAGGAGTCACACAATAGAACGAAATGGCCGTCCAGTGCTTCCAGGTTTTCAATGGAGGTCTAACATCAATCGGCTCATCATCTGAATCAAAAACTTAACAATCTCCTTAACCGCTAAACTGATAGCATTCATTTATTCGGCTTTTGACGGTTTTCATATGAAGAAGTGTTATTAAGACTCTTGATCATGGTTTGAAATACCTATTTCATTGTTAAAGCCAATCAGGTATATGTATTGAAAAATGAACAGCTTAATAGAGCATTCTATAATGGTGAAATTAATCGGTTAGTTGTTCCGGAATCAACGTTTTTTTCTTAATTTTTCCTATGATTTATTACCGACTGTATTCATACCTTTATTTATCATAATTTCTATTAACAGTTATACAATAAACAAACGTAAGTCTAATTCAATCAAATGTGTCCATAATAAATCTTTATACACAAATGGATAGACGATGACTGAAATAATTAAATTAGTGAAATTTCTTGAAGGCGAACATTAATAATTTTTCACTCTTCAATGCATACAATCATTGCCTTCTTGCGATGGGTGTGTTGTTTAAGAAAAGCCAATATCCGGCGCTTTGAACGGGTTGGTAGACACGGAGAGTCCACCTAGGGGAGTTGAAAAACCCTGAGTACAAACCAATGGTCACATGGGCCCCAGTATCCTGAAGGAATAAATGGTACATGAACCAATCGTTGGTCACCAACTACTGTGGGACTTCAACTCTAACGTTGCTCCGCTACCTTGTATATTAGATATTTGGGTCAAAGGCCCCGAGTTTGGCCCCATTAAAAACGACCCGCTTCGGTTTGGGCACCCAGGCAGTATCTCAGCACTCACACAAATTGAATAATTTAAGTGTCGCATATATATTTGGTGCTTCCTTGTAAAAAAATTTATATGTTTCAATAAATAAATAATGAACTCAGCTTAACAAGGGCAAAAGGAAACAAAAACCATAGTCCAAATGACATGATTTCAAAAGAAAAAATATGTTCAATTTTAATGACACTTCCAATCTTCTTAATGATGTCTATGATTTTAATAAGTCAGTCTAATTTGACCAGTGTAGATCCTATTCAGATAAGCATGATAATGCATATAATACTATAAAATAATCCGAAAATATGTATATTCGTTCCAGAGTTAATGTACTATCAATGACTTCAACATATTATCAAAGGATTACATCAGTAAATTAAGCAAAAGCTGATATTAGACGAAGATATATCAATGAATAGTTATCTGCATAACATTAAGTATGCACTGGGTTGGGATGACGTAATGCAGCAGAATTTTTCATGTGCTCATGAATCATTTTACGAAATCTTCCTCCTCTACCACATTCGAAATTTGTATACTTAACATAGTCTAGCAGTAGATCCTTGAGAGTTGTATAAGAAAGCGAAATGGGCCTATCCGGTAAATCCAGAGTTTTAAATAAGCTATGTGCTTCTTTGCCGATGAATGTGAGGAAATGTGCTACAATATTAACACCCTCACCATGTTCCTTATTCATAGGCCAGATTTCGAAACTTTCAAAGTAATCATCAAAAGCATCAAAATCTGAATGAATGTGCAATCGTTCAATCACAGGCCCAAACCCGAAGTCAATATGATGATTAGGAGTATGTGAATTATAGTACGAGCTAAGAATCTCAGAAAGAACGCAATCGGTTCAAGAAGTACTAGATACACGAACTAAATGAAATAGTGTATTTGTTATGTGTGGTTTCAGCCAGCTAATTTATTTCGGTTGGTATATGACACATTTCAGTAGTATTATTTACTATCAAGCATAAAAAGATGCTTTGAATTTGTTTGATTACACAAATGGTTTGACTTTGCTTCGTTTCAGACCACAAACAACTCATTCACCAACTGATCATATCAGTACTGAACGAATTGTTAGTAAGACAGAGAATGTCACTCACCCAATGTTCACTGTAGAAGATGTCCACAGAATAGGAAATGAAACAAGAAGTAAGCTGACCTATTGAAATTACTGAATGAGAATAAGATTTTCTTTATCTATAGAAACCTTATAAGTAAATGTATAAAACTCTGTGAATACTAACTTGTTGAGACTATTTGTAGAGCTTGTTAACTGAATGAATATCCATTTGTCAAACTGATGATATTAGATAAACTACTAAATGAATGAATGAATGAATGAATGAATGCATAATCGGGCGAGACTATAATTTATGGACGAAGCAATGAGGTTTAAGATAAGATCAGAGAATAGGGATTTTGGCACAAAATTCACTCATCAATTTTTTGGCTAAATTATATTTTGGCATTATAGCTTATGTGAGTTCGTGATGAAAACTGGAAATCTTACTCCTAACCTTAATCATCAACTGTAAATCATAATTCTAATTCCTCACACTGGTTTATAACCTCATTTGTTCCTGGTTATTATGTGGCCACTCTCAATGTTCCTATAGCGTCGCTCAAACGTCGTCTGTAAATTATAGTCTCACTCATAATACTTTCGACATTTAACATGCTGATTATTTTCATTCTCGTAGAAACCACATTGAAGATAGTTCAGGTAAACTAAATTGTTATTATCAAATTTTAATATGTTTCACGTATGATTGTTGTAAGACTGAACATAGTTTAGTCGGAAGTCTAGTTCCACTCCCAAAACTGCAGATCAGCTATAATCAACAATTCTGTGTGTTTGTCTAACAATGTCAACATGGTGCACGCAATGTTGAGTCAGCTAGACTGGTTGACAAATTACAAATTGGTCGATATGTTTCGATCGACACAAAGGCGGATCTGACTTACGTGACATTGATCACCAACCACCAGTGATCAATCAATTGTACAATCTACATAGCTTATCTGTGAGAGTTGATAGTATGTTGTCTGTATATATTTGTTGACAGAATTTAATGCTATAACATTATGATTTTGATTGACGAATCAATAATAATCTGGATTAGGTATGTGCTATTGCAAGATTAATGTTAGACGTGACATTCACTGAAAACAAACATAGATACTGACTAATAATCAAATATACCTTGCTGATAATTTCTATACTGAACTAAACAACAGTGTTTCTCCTCTTATCTATAGAAGCTTTTAATAATGCGAACAGAATGCAAAAGTGTTCGGTTTCACGTAATGACAAACAAATGTAGTTGTAAAATACCAAAGTTTGACAATTGATCTTGATAAATTCGAATCCTTATTTCATCGTTCCATAATGTGTATTCATTATTTATTTAAACAAATGAACATAGGTAGAAGGAGGCACCAAATTGATACGCGATACATAATTCGTTTGATCTATATGATGCCTGAATTGTTGTTGCCTGATTGCGCAAGTCGAAGTAGGTGGATTTCTTAGTGTAGCACACTCGTCGCCGTTGACTTAAATGTATAATCCACAAGGCAGTGAAGTAAGTTCAATAGATGCTGTCACATGGTACCCAGTATCGACCGTTTGTCTCACATGGCCTTTTTTCCTTCAATATATTGGAGCTAATGTGCACCAATAATTTGGAATCAGTGTTAGTCAACTCCCTTATGTGAATTGTCCGTATCCACTAGCACGGTTAAAGCGAAGGTCATTGGCGTCTTGTCCTCTCAATTTCATTATGAACAATGTTGCCGGGAGCTGGCAGTGTATAGAACTTCTCTGTCAGTTGTCGCTTGTACGCGGCCATGTGAGAGCATTTCAAGAGAGAGAGAGAGAGAGAGAAAGAAAGAGTGAGTGAGCTGACTCTCGTATTTCGCGGCCGTACCACGGCATTTCCAGATACGCATTGGTAAATAATGTTGAAGAATCACTAGTTAAGATTATCGATTAGGAGATTAGTTCAGTTTCAACGTGGATAACGTAATTCATCAACTCATGTAAATATTGTTATTGATGAATAATTTATGCAGTGAATCCATATATTTATTTATATCTGTTCATTGACAATCAAATATTCCACCATACTTTTCATTCACAGTCATCTGATAAACAACGGTAAGTATAACTGTATCAAACTAAACAAAGATGTCCTGACGAATGTTTACGTCCAGTCAATGAACTGATTAATAGTATGTAGCTTCAAGATTGTTTAATTATATTGAGATCACAAATGGAGATTTAACAGACAACAACTGGAGAAATGGAATCAGTGGAAGGTCGTTTTGTCTTAGAATAGAACTTCTCAGCAGGGTTAATCAATGATCTTGCAAAAGAGATTCGAGCTGAAAACGTACGATGTGCAATGCAAAAGCTCTGTTCTGTACCACCTGATCACTATTAGATGACATGCAATTCTTAATATCACCGATCCACAATGTTGTGTGATTATGATGATTAGGAGAATTTGAATGATAGTAAGAACTAAATATCACAGAACTAACTTAATCAGATCAAGAAGTATTAGATAAGCACGAACGAATGTACTGTATTCGGGATTCGAAATCAAGCATTCAACAATTACAAAGGAATCATTACTTCATTCAAATACCACATCTGCCACAGCTTGAATTAGAATGTAAATGTCTGTAATCGATTGTACGTCTTCTTAAGTTCATCCTGTGTCTGTCCGACATTGTATTGGATAAAACTCTGTATTATCTATAATGTACTCATTGGTATTGGAATTAACAACCGAAATCGTAACAGGTTCACTTGGTTCCTGGGATTGTATACAATCGCCGTATCGGTTGTGTACCGAAACCATTATCTAGAATTTAAACCACAGATTTCCCAACACTATCTTCCCCCAAGAAATAATGTTGTGTCTTCATGTCCTCATGTTATTAATGATGTGGTTTCATTTAAAACATATTTCTCACATTGACTAGAGTAAACTTTAGAAGTGATTTCGTGATAAGGATAAACAGCAATTCATATGAAATCATCCGAATTGTAATCAAACTCCAGCATATTTAGTACTTGTGATCTGCACTGAACAAGATTCCTACAAGAAACAAATACATTATGAGGACATATAATATTTGATAGAACATCAAGATTTGATTCTTCTGAAATAGCTTCCTCAAATTTAATAAGAATGTGATTGCAGAGTAAAAGGATCATTAGGAAAATCAGCATCTATTAAAACTACATCGGTTTTTCGATCATGACTAGGTTCATTCAACATACTTTTCTCAGGTTTGCTAGGAATTTCGTCAGAAATATGTGAATCATTAGGAAAAACCATATTCGGTACAATAACATGAGAAATCTGATAAGTCGATTGATTAGAAACTGTCGTCTCGCAAGAACTCTAATTTTCATTTCACTCTAAATTGCTATATTCTCTATACTGTCTTTTGAAATCCTTGATAAAGATAAAAGGTCATTATAAATACTTGACTTAGTAGAATCAGAACTACATGACTTAAAATTAGTTGCAATATGATGAACAGTAGTACTACAAACTGATTGAATATGTCCAACATCACCACATTTGTAGCACTTACAATTACGAAATTTAACTGAATAAAAGAGTGGAACCTGTCAAAGGACAAACATTGACCAAACTTGTGACCGTCTTCGTGAACTGTATCACAACTAATCGATGAATTGTTATCTGCATAACATTAAGTATGCACTGGGTTGGGATGACGTAATGCAGCAGAATTTTTCATGTGCTCATGAATCATTTTACGAAATCTTCCTCCTCTACCACATTCGAAATTTGTATACTTAACATAGTCTAGCAGTAGATCCTTGAGAGTTGTATAAGAAAGCGAAATGGGCCTATTCGGTAAATCCAGAGTTTTAAATAAGCTATGTGCTTCTTTGCCGATGAATGTGAGGAAATGTGCTACAATATTAACATCCTCACCATGTTCCTTATTCATAGGCCAGATTTCGAAACTTTCAAAGTAATCATCAAAAGCATCAAAATCTGAATGAATGTGCAATCGTTCAATCACAGGCCCAAACCCGAAGTCAATATGATGATTAGGAGTATGTGAATTATAGTACGAGCTAAGAATCTCAGAAAGAACGCAATCGGTTCAAGAAGTACTAGATACACGAACTAAATGAAATAGTGTATTTGTTATGTGTGGTTTCAGCCAGTTAATGTATTTCAGTTGGTATATGACACATTTCAGTAGTATTATTTACTATCAAGTATAAAAAGATGCTTTGAATTTGTTTGATTACACAAATGGTTTGACTTTGCTTCGTTTCAGACCACAGACAACTCATTCACCAACTGATCATATCAGTACTGAACGAATTGTTAGTAAGACAGAGAATGTCACTCACCCAATGTTCACTGTAGAAGATGTCCACAGAATAGGAAATGAAACAAGAAGTAAGCTGACCTATTGAAATTACTGAATGAGAATAAGATTTTCTTTATCTATAGAAACCTTATAAGTAAATGTATAAAACTCTGTGAATACTAACTTGTTGAGACTATTTGTAGAGCTTGTTAACTGAATGAATATTCATTTGTCAAACTGATGATATTAGATAAACTACTAAATGAATGAATGAATGAATGAATGAATGAATGCATAATCGGGCGAGACTATAATTTATGGACGAAGCAATGAGGTTTAAGATAAGATCAGAGAATAGGGATTTTGGCACAAAATTCACTCATCAATTTTTTGGCTAAATTATATTTTGGCATTATAGCTTATGTGAGTTCGTGATGAAAACTGGAAATCTTACTCCTAACCTTAATCATCAACTGTAAATCATAATTCTAATTCCTCACACTGGTTTATAACCTCATTTGTTCCTGGTTATGAGGTGGCCACTCTCAATGTTCCTATAGTGTCGCTCAAACGTCGTCTGTAAATTATAGTCTCACTCATAATACTTTCGACATTTAACATGCTGATTATTTTCATTCTCGTAGAAACCACATTGAAGATAGTTCAGGTAAACTAAATTGTTATTATCAAATTTTAATATGTTTCACGTATGATTGTTGTAAGACTGAACATAGTTTAGTCGGAAATCTAGTTCCACTCCCAAAACTGCAGATCAGCTATAATCAACAATTCTGTGTGTTTGTCTAACAATGTCAACATGGTGCACGCAATGTTGAGTCAGCTAGACTGGTTGACAAATTACAAATTGGTCGATATGTTTCGATCGACACAAAGGCGGATCTGACTTACGTGACATTGATCACCAACCACCAGTGATCAATCAATTGTACGATCTACATAGCTTATCTGTGAGAGTTGATAGTATGTTGTCTGTATATATTTGTTGACAGAATTTAATGCTATAACATTATGATTTTGATTGACGAATCAATAATAATCTGGATTAGGTATGTGCTATTGCAAGATTAATGTTAGACGTGACATTCACTGAAAACAAACATAGATACTGACTAATAATTAAATATACCTTGCTGATAATTTCTATACTGAACTAAACAACAGTGTTTCTCCTCTTATCTATAGAAGCTTTTAATAATGCGAACAGAATGCAAAAGTGTTCGGTTTCACGTAATGACAAACAAATGTAGTTGTAAAATACCAAAGTTTGACAATTGATCTTGATAAATTCGAATCCTTATTTCATCGTTCCATAATGTGTATTCATTATTTATTTAAACAAATGAACATAGGTAGAAGGAGGCACCAAATTGATATGCGATACATAATTCGTTCGATTTATGTGATGCCTGGGTTGTTGCCTGATTGCGCAAGTCGAAGTAGGTGGATTTCTTAGTGTAGCACACTCGTCGCCGTTGACTTAAATGTATAATCCACAAGGCAGTGAAGTAAGTTCAATAGATGCTGTCACATGGTAGCCAGTATCGACCGTTTGTCTCACATGGCCTTTTTTCCTTCAATATATTGGAGCTAATGTGCACCAATAATTTGGAATCAGTGTTAGTCAACTCCCTTATGTGAATTGTCCGTATCCACTAGCACGGTTAAAGCGAAGGTCATTGGCATTTTCTCCTCTCAATTTCATTATGAACAATGTTGCCGGGAGCTGGCAGTGTATAGAACTTCTCTGTCAGTTGTCGCTTGTACGCGGCCATGTGAGAGCATTTCAAGAGAGAGAGAGAGAGAGAGAGAAAGAAAGAGTGAGTGAGCTGACTCTCGTATTTCGCGGCCGTACCACGGCATTTCCAGATACGCATTGGTAAATAATGTTGAAGAATCACTAGTTAAGATTATCGATTAGGAGATTAGTTCAGTTTCAACGTGGATAACGTAATTCATCAACTCATGTAAATATTGTTATTGATGAATAATTTATGCAGTGAATCCATATATTTATTTATATCTGTTCATTGACAATCAAATATTCCACCATACTTTTCATTCACAGTCATCTGATAAACAACGGTAAGTATAACTGTATCAAACTAAACAAAGATGTCCTGACGAATGTTTACGTCCAGTCAATGAACTGATTAATAGTATGTAGCTTCAAGATTGTTTAATTATATTGAGATCACAAATGGAGATTTAACAGACAACAACTGGAGAAATGGAATCAGTGGAAGGTCGTTTTGTCTTAGAATAGAACTTCTCAGCAGGGTTCATCCATGATCTTGCAAAAGAGATTCGAGCTGAAAACGTACGATGTGCAATGCAAAAGCTCTGTTCTGTACCACCTGATCACTATTAGATGACATGCAATTCTTAATATCACCGATCCACAATGTTGTGTGATTATGATGATTAGGAGAATTTGAATGATAGTAAGAACTAAACATCACAGAACTAACTTAATCAGATCATGGAGTATTAGATAAGCACGAACGAATGTACTGTATTTGGGATTCGAAATCAAGCATTCAACAATTACAAAGGAATCATTACTTCATTCAAATACCACATCTGCCACAGCTTGAATTAGAATGTAAATGTCTGTAATCGATTGTACGTCTTCTTAAGTTCATCCTGTGTCTGTCCGACATTGTATTGGATAAAACTCTGTATTATCTATAATGTACTCATTGGTATTGGAATTAACAACCGAAATCGTAACAGGTTCACTTGGTTCCTGGGATTGTATACAATCGCCGTATCGGTTGTGTACCGAAACCATTATCTAGAATTTAAACCACAGATTTCCCAACACTATCTTCCCCCAAGAAATAATGTTGTGTCTTCATGTCCTCATGTTATTAATGATGTGGTTTCATTTAAAACATATTTCTCACATTGACTAGAGTAAACTTTAGAAGTGATTTCGTGATAAGGATAAACAGCAATTCATATGAAATCATCCGAATTGTAATCAAACTCCAGCATATTTAGTACTTGTGATCTGCACTGAACAAGATTCCTACAAGAAACAAATACATTATGAGGACATATAATATTTGATAGAACATCAAGATTTGATTCTTCTGAAATAGCTTCCTCAAATTTAATAAGAATGTGATTGCAGAGTAAAAGGATCATTAGGAAAATCAGCATCTATTAAAACTACATCGGTTTTTCGATCATGACTAGGTTCATTCAACATACTTTTCTCAGGTTTGCTAGGAATTTCGTCAGAAATATGTGAATCATTAGGAAAAACCATATTCGGTACAATAACATGAGAAATCTGATAAGTCGATTGATTAGAAACTGTCGTCTCGCAAGAACTCTAATTTTCATTTCACTCTAAATTGCTATATTCTCTATACTGTCTTTTGAAATCCTTGATAAAGATAAAAGGTCATTATAAATACTTGACTTAGTAGAATCAGAACTACATGACTTAAAATTAGTTGCAATATGATGAACAGTAGTACTACAAACTGATTGAATATGTCCAACATCACCACATTTGTAGCACTTACAACTACGAAATTTACCTGAATAAAAGAGTGGAACCTGTCAAAGGACAAGCATTGACCAAACTTGTGACCGTCTTCGTGAACTGTATCACAACTCGTCGATGAATTGTTATCTGCATAACATTCAGTATGCACTGGGTTGGGATGACGTAATGCAGCAGAATTTTTCATGTGCTCATGAATCATTTTACGAAATCTTCCTCCTCTACCACATTCGAAATTTGTATACTTAACATAGTCTAGCAGTAGATCCTTGATAGTTGTATAAGAAAGCGAAATGGGCCTATCCGGTAAATCCAGAGTTTTAAATAAGCTATATGCTTCTTTTACGATGAATGTGAGGAAATGTGCTACAATATTAACATCCTCACCATGTTCCTTATTCATAGGCCAGATTTCGAAACTTTCAAAGTAATCATCAAAAGCATCAAAATCTGAATGAATGTGCAATCGTTCAATCACAGGCCCAAACCCGAAGTCAATATGATGATTAGGAGTATGTGAATTATAGTACGAGCTAAGAATCTCAGAAAGAACGCAATCGGTTCAAGAAGTACTAGATACACGAACTAAATGAAATAGTGTATTTGTTATGTGTGGTTTCAGCCAGCTAATTTATTTCGGTTGGTATATGACACATTTCAGTAGTATTATTTACTATCAAGTATAAAAAGATGCTTTGAATTTGTTTGATTACACAAATGGTTTGACTTTGCTTCGTTTCAGACCACAAACAACTCATTCACCAACTGATCATATCAGTACTGAACGAATTGTTAGTAAGACAGAGAATGTCACTCACCCAATGTTCACTGTAGAAGATGTTCACAGAATAGGAAATGAAACAAGAAGTAAGCTGACCTATTGAAATTACTGAATGAGAATAAGATTTTCTTTATCTATAGAAACCTTATAAGTAAATGTATAAAACTCTGTCAATACTAACTTGTTGAGACTATTTGTAGAGCTTGTTAACTGAATGAATATCCATTTGTCAAACTGATGATATTAGATAAAATACTAAATGAATGAATGAATGAATGAATGCATAATCGGGCGAGACTATAATTTATGGACGAAGCAATGAGGTTTAAGATAAGATCAGAGAATAGGGATTTTGGCACAAAATTCACTCATCAATTTTTTGGCTAAATTATATTTTGGCATTATAGCTTATGTAAGTTCGTGATGAAAACTGGAAATCTTACTCCTAACCTTAATCATCAACTGTAAATCATAATTCTAATTCCTCACACTGGTTTATAACCTCATTTGTTCCTGGTTATTATGTGGCCACTCTCAATGTTCCTATAGCGTCGCTCAAACGTCGTCTGTAAATTATAGTCTCACTCATAATACTTTCGACATTTAACATGCTGATTATTTTCATTCTCGTAGAAACCACATTGAAGATAGTTCAGGTAAACTAAATTGTTATTATCAAATTTTAATATGTTTCACGTATGATTGTTGTAAGACTGAACATAGTTTAGTCGGAAGTCTAGTTCCACTCCCAAAACTGCAGATCAGCTATAATCAACAATTCTGTGTATTTGTCTAACAATGTCAACATGGTGCACGCAATGTTGAGTCAGCAAGACTGGTTGCCAAATTACAACTTGGTCGATATGTTTCGATCGACACAAAGGCGGATCTGACTTACGTGACATTGATCACCAACCACCAGTGATCAATCAATTGTACGATCTACATAGCTTATCTGTGAGAGTTGATAGTATGTTGTCTGTATATATTTGTTGACAGAATTTAATGCTATAACATTATGATTTTGATTGACGAATCAATAATAATCTGGATTAGGTATGTGCTATTGCAAGATTAATGTTAGACGTGACATTCACTGAAAACAAACATAGATACTGACTAATAATCAAATATACCTTGCTGATAATTTCTATACTGAACTAAACAACAGTGTTTCTCCTCTTATCTATAGAAGCTTTTAATAATGCGAACAGAATGCAAAATTGTTCGGTTTCTCGTGGTGATAAACAGATGTAGTTGTAGACTGACCAAAGTTTGACAATTGATCTTGATAAATTCAAATCCTTATTTCATCGTTCCATAATGTGTATTCATTATTTATTTAAACAAATGAACATAGGTAGAAGGAGGCACCAAATTGATACGCGATACATAAGTCGTTTGATCTATATGATGCCTGAATTGTTGTTGCCTGATTGCGCAAGTCGAAGTAGGTGGATTTCTTAGTGTAGCACACTCGTCGCCGTTGACTTAAATGTATAATCCACAAGGCAGTGAAGTAAGTTCAATAGATGCTGTCACATGGTAGCCAGTATCGATCGTTTGTCTCACATGGCCATTTTTTCTTCAATATATTGGAGCCAATGTGCATTAATTATTTGGAATCAGTGTTAGTCAACTCCCTTATGTGAATTGTCCGTATCCACTAGCACGGTTAAAGCGAAGGTCATTGGCGTCTTGTCCTCTCAATTTCATTATGAACAATGTTGCCGGAAGCTGGCAGTGTATAGAACTTCTCTGTCAGTTGTTGTTTGTACGCGGCCATGTGAGAGCATTTCAAGAGAGAGAGAGAGAGAGAGAGAGAGAGAGAGAGAAAGAAAGAGTGAGTGAGCTGACTCTCGTATTTCGCGGCCGTACCACGGCATTTCCAGATACGCATTGGTAAATAATGTCGAAGAATCACTAGTTAAGATTATCGATTAGGAGATTAGTTCAGTTTCAACGTGGATAACGTAATTCATCAACTCATGTAAATATTGTTATTGATGAATAATTTATGCAGTGAATCCATATATTTATTTATATCTGTTCATTGACAATCAAATATTCCACCATACTTTTCATTCACAGTCATCTGATAAACAACGGTAAGTATAACTGTATCAAACAAAACAAAGATGTCCTGACGAATGTTTACGTCTAGTCAATGAACTGATTAATAGTATGTAGCTTCAAGATTGTTTAATTATATTGAGATCACAAATGGAGATTTAACAGACAACAACTGGAGAAATGGAATCAGTGGAAGGTCGTTTTGTCTTAGAACAGAACTTCTCAGCAGGGTTAATCAATGATCTTGCAAAAGAGATTCGAGCTGAAAACGTACGATGTGCAATGCAAAAGCTCTGTTCTGTACCACCTGATCACTATTAGATGACATGCAATTCTTAATATCACCGATCCACAATGTTGTGTGATTATGATGATTAGGAGAATTTGAATGATAGTAAGAACTAAATATCACAGAACTAACTTAATCAGATCAAGAAGTATTAGATAAGCACGAACGAATGTACTGTATTTGGGATTCGAAATCAAGCATTCAACAATTACAAAGGAATCATTACTTCATTCAAATACCACATCTGCCACAGCTTGAATTAGAATGTAAATGTCTGTAATCGATTGTACGTCTTCTTAAGTTCATCCTGTGTCTGTCCGACATTGTATTGGATAAAACTCTGTATTATCTATAATGTACTCATTGGTATTGGAGTTAACAACCGAAATCGTAACAGGTTCACTTGGTTCCTGGGATTTTATACAATCGCCGTATCGGTTGTGTACCGAAACCATTATCTAGAATTTAAACCACAGATTTCCCAACACTATCTTCCCCCAAGAAATAATGTTGTGTCTTCATGTCCTCATGTTATTAATGATGTGGTTTCATTTAAAACATATTTCTCACATTGACTAGAGTAAACTTTAGAAGTGATTTCGTGATAAGGATAAACAGCAATTCATATGAAATCATCCGAATTGTAATCAAACTCCAGCATATTTAGTACTTGTGATCTGCACTGAACAAGATTCCTACAAGAAACAAATACATTATGAGGACATATAATATTTGATAGAACATCAAGATTTGATTCTTCTGAAATAGCTTCCTCAAATTTAATATGAATGTGATTGCAGAGTAAAAGGATCATTAGGAAAATCAGCATCTATTAAAACTACATCGGTTTTTCGATCATGACTAGGTTCATTCAACATACTTTTCTCAGATTTGCTAGGAATTTCGTCAGAAATATGTGAATCATTAGGAAAAACCATATTCGGTACAATAACATGAGAAATCTGATAAGTCGATTGATTAGAAACTGTCGTCTCGCAAGAATTCTAAGTTTCATTTCACTCTAAATTGCTATATTCTCTATACTGTCTTTTGAAATCCTTGATAAAGATAAAAGGTCATTATAAATACTTGACTTAGTAGAATCAGAACTACATGACTTAAAATTAGTTGCAATATGATGAACAGTAGTACTACAAACTGATTGAATATGTCCAACATCACCACATTTGTAGCACTTACAACTACGAAATTTACCTGAATAAAAGAGTGGAACCTGTCAAAGGACAAGCATTGACCAAACTTGTGACCGTCTTCGTGAACTGTATCACAACTCGTCGATGAATTGTTATCTGCATAACATTCAGTATGCACTGGGTTGGGATGACGTAATGCAGCAGAATTTTTCATGTGCTCATGAATCATTTTACGAAATCTTCCTCCTCTACCACATTCGAAATTTGTATACTTAACATAGTCTAGCAGTAGATCCTTGATAGTTGTATAAGAAAGCGAAATGGGCCTATCCGGTAAATCCAGAGTTTTAAATAAGCTATGTGCTTCTTTGCCGATGAATGTGAGGAAATGTGCTACAATATTAACATCCTCACCATGTTCCTTATTCATAGGCCAGATTTCGAAACTTTCAAAGTAATCATCAAAAGCATCAAAATCTGAATGAATGTGCAATCGTTCAATCACAGGCCCAAACCCGAAGTCAATATGATGATTAGGAGTATGTGAATTATAGTACGAGCTAAGAATCTCAGAAAGAACGCAATCGGTTCAAGAAGTACTAGATACACGAACTAAATGAAATAGTGTATTTGTTATGTGTGGTTTCAGCCAGCTAATTTATTTCGGTTGGTATATGACACATTTCAGTAGTATTATTTACTATCAAGTATAAAAAGATGCTTTGAATTTGTTTGATTACACAAATGGTTTGACTTTGCTTCGTTTCAGACCACAGACAACTCATTCACCAACTGATCATATCAGTACTGAACGAATTGTTAGTAAGACAGAGAATGTCACTCACCCAATGTTCACTGTAGAAGATGTCCACAGAATAGGAAATGAAACAAGAAGTAAGCTGACCTATTGAAATTACTGAATGAGAATAAGATTTTCTTTATCTATAGAAACCTTATAAGTAAATGTATAAAACTCTGTCAATACTAACTTGTTGAGACTATTTGTAGAGCTTGTTAACTGAATGAATATCCATTTGTCAAACTGATGATATTAGATAAAATACTAAATGAATGAATGAATGAATGAATGCATAATCGGGCGAGACTATAATTTATGGACGAAGCAATGAGGTTTAAGATAAGATCAGAGAATAGGGATTTTGGCACAAAATTCACTCATCAATTTTTTGGCTAAATTATATTTTGGCATTATAGCTTATGTGAGTTCGTGATGAAAACTGGAAATCTTACTCCTAACCTTAATCATCAACTGTAAATCATAATTCTAATTCCTCACACTGGTTTATAACCTCATTTGTTCCTGGTTATTATGTGGCCACTCTCAATGTTCCTATAGCGTCGCTCAAACGTCGTCTGTAAATTATAGTCTCACTCATAATACTTTCGACATTTAACATGCTGATTATTTTCATTCTCGTAGAAACCACATTGAAGATAGTTCAGGTAAACTAAATTGTTATTATCAAATTTTAATATGTTTCACGTATGATTGTTGTAAGACTGAACATAGTTTAGTCGGAAGTCTAGTTCCACTCCCAAAACTGCAGATCAGCTATAATCAACAATTCTGTGTATTTGTCTAACAATGTCAACATGGTGCACGCAATGTTGAGTCAGCTAGACTGGTTGCCAAATTACAACTTGGTCGATATGTTTCGATCGACACAAAGGCGGATCTGACTTACGTGACATTGATCACCAACCACCAGTGATCAATCAATTGTACAATCTACATAGCTTATCTGTGAGAGTTGATAGTATGTTGTCTGTATATATTTGTTGACAGAATTTAATGCTATAACATTATGATTTTGATTGACGAATCAATAATAATCTGGATTAGGTATGTGCTATTGCAAGATTAATGTTAGACGTGACATTCACTGAAAACAAACATAGATACTGACTAATAATCAAATATACCTTGCTGATAATTTCTTTACTGAACTAAACAACAGTGTTTCTCCTCTTATCTATAGAAGCTTTTAATAATGCGAACAGAATGCAAAAGTGTTCGGTTTCACGTGATGATAAACAAATGTAGTTGTAAACTGACCAAAGTTTGACAATTGATCTTGATAAATTCAAATCCTTATTTCATCGTTCCATAATGTGTATTCATTATTTATTTAAACAAATGAACATAGGTAGAAGGAGGCACCAAATTGATATGCGATACATAATTCGTTCGATTTATGTGATGCCTTGGTTGTTGCCTGAATGCGCAAGTCGAAGTAGGTGGATTTCTTAGTGTAGCACACTCGTCGCCGTTGACTTAAATGTATAATCCACAAGGCAGTGAAGTAAGTTCAATAGATGCTGTCACATGGTAGCCAGTATCGATCGTTTGTCTCACATGGCCATTTTTTCTTCAATATATTGGAGCCAATGTGCATTAATTATTTGGAATCAGTGTTAGTCAACTCCTTTATGTGAATTGTCCGTATCCACTAGCACGGTTAAAGCGCAGGTCATAGGCGTCTTGTCGTCTCAATTTCATTTTGAACAATACTGTAGAAAGCAGGCACTGTGTGGGATTTCTCTGTCAGCGGTTGATTGCACGTGGTCATATGAGAGAATGTCAAGAGAGAGGGAGAGAGAGATCTGACTCTCCCAAATATCGGACGTACCACAGCATTTGCGGATACGTATTGGTAAATAATGTTGAAGAATCACTAGTTAAGATTATCAATTAGGAGATTAGTTCAGTTTCAACGTGGATAACGTAATTCATCAACTCATGTAAATATTGTTATTGATGAATAATTTATGCAGTGAATTCAGACATTTCTTTATATTTATTCATTGACAACCAAACATTTCACCATAATTTTGATTCATAGTCATCTGATAAACAACTGTAAGTGTAATTATATCAATCTAAGATGTTGTTAATTATGTTTACGTTTGTTAGATGAAATGATTATTTGTATGTAATACACCTGATTTTTTCGCTCTTGTCAAACTTCAGATTCTAACGTCTTTAATTCTGATGAGAAGCCGTTGCTATACCGTCTATCTATCCCAGGTGTGAGATAAATATCCGTCGAAGATACAGGTATATAGTTAGTCGGTATCGCGAATTGATTATCCTTAGACTTTGGTATCACGTTACGTTAGCTCAATAGTTTAGTGGCTGAGCATTCTCATTTCCGATCGGCGGTTTTCACTTCGACTGCCTTTAGCATAATCGTGGATACACACCTCTTATTAGAATGAGGCAGCCTTCTAGCCCACTCACTTTTTCAGTTGCGTTTTTTAAGAAAGACCTTTTCGTGATCTCATTATGAATGAATGACTGAGGGTTTAATTATATTATCTATGATAATTCGAAACATATTTAGAAGCATCCATATATAACCTCTAGACTACTGAAATTGCCAGCATCCAATGGTGTTAATGTCTTACTTCAATTAATCCATGAAATAAATTCTTTTTAAAAAGTGTTGATTATCACTATTTGATTTATGTATATGTCACACAATTAAAAAATAAACATTAATCAGTGATTTCTTTCGTACTTTTAAATCAGTTCATATTGAGATACTTTAGGGATCATGAATGAAGCCAGCAAAGAGTACAAGAAATTACACAAGCACAAACCTATGTTAATACTACAAATTGTAATTTATATTGTACAGTAGGTAGATTGTGTGAAGACTTTAGATGCCCATAATAGAACGTTTCTTCATCTACATATATAATAATAGTCAAACTTAGCACCAAATCAGTATGTTATAATAAGTCTTGCAACTTTCTCCTCAGCAGTGCTCATCCGCGATCCCACTTGCAGGATTCAAACCCAGAGCCTTTGGACTCGCACGCGAGCACTCAATCTCTAGACAACTGACACGGTATTCAAATGAATTCATTGTTTCAGTTAATTTTAACGGATTTATCTTCATAGTGAAGATAATTTGTAGCTCATGTGGTTCATTTTGATGGTGTTTTGTTCTCTGAGATGGATGGTTTGGTTGTGGAGTATTCATCGTTCTTCTGAACATCATCAGCACGAAGTTCAAGTAAACTGATGATGCTGTTCAGAAGAACGATGAATTATCCACGACCAAACCATCCAGTTCGGAAAACAAAACTACGTCAATATTTTTCTTTACATACAATCCTTTTTTGCATGGTTTCAGACCGATATTTATTCGTTCACCATTAAATGAAATTGATTCACAAGGAAATGTTTTTCGACCAAAAATAGTCACCAGTAACGACTTTTCTGTTGATTATGATGTCCAAGACATAAAAATTGAAACTGAAGGTAAGTTTTCTTTCACATAATTCTAATAAAGTAACCTAAACTATTATTAAACCAGTCTTTATCCATATTTACACACCATTAGATTGATTGTAAAAAGGTATTTTTAAAAATTGTTTGATAGTTGAATTTATGAGTCAATTGAATCTAGATCACTATGGAAAACGTGGAAGCAGTGGACGGTCTTTGGATACCTACTCAGAGGTCTAAAGATTAAGCGTTCGCGCGCGTGACCGATATGTCCTGATTTCAAATCGTGGATGCACACTGATTACGAGTCTCAAAGTTGGATGAAACGGCTGCCAAGTGCCTCAAGATTTTTCATGGTGGTCTAGCTTCAATCGACTCATAAATTCAGCTATCAAATTACTTCAATCTCCACAAAACCTCTATCTACAAAATAGTTATTGCTTGTTTTACATTTTTACAAACAAAGATTTCAGATAAAACTTGATTAAGTCAAAAACAAAAGGATTACATATCCAGACGATAAACCTGTAAATAATGACAATCATGAGTAACTAATCTGAGAACAATTTGTTAACCAATTATGTGCATCAAATAATTTCAAACTTTAGTTTCATCTTGTTATAACGTGTAACATTATGTCCCTATCAATGTAGAGCATAATGATACCACCAATTAGAGAACAGTGAATTATCAGCCGAAACAATAACCCATAAACCTCGTAGTCTAGAGACGTTATCGGTCCTACATGTTACCTAGACCTTCCTGTTAAGTTCAGAACACCAAACTTAGACGAGAAAGAATATACAAGTGGTGATAATCGAACGTATATGCACACAAATTACAGAATGTTTTAGTAAAATCTGAGAACCATACAGTAAATACTTCATTTGCAAATTATCAATCTTCTCAGAATTGGAATTTTTCTTCCAATAGCATTCAGTCATATCAAACTTCATTGTCATTTCATTTCTCTATCAGTTGCTTTCTGTTCCCGTTCTTTCCTCTTTGATCTTCATTACCTTCTTCTGCCAGATATTTTATTCCTGACTACTTGTGTTAATCTAAATGGCACGCACCACAATATGAATCATGTAATTCAAACAAACTGGGTTTATATACAAACCACACAGTCTGCATTGTACTATAAAACAGAAAATACACATTTGTACAGGATCTAGCCAAAAGTGTCCGTGAATGTGGGAGACTGTCATTAATAGACTGGACTTAAATCAAGAATTGTAAATCGTATAATAATAGTTCATAAGTCAAAATAAAGCTTATCAAAAGAGGAACATGAATATGCATAATTTAGTTACCTAATAATTATACAATAAGAATATATGTATAGTATTAGTCCATAAATGGATACTAACAGCTATCATTCATTATTGTTCATGCAATATAACACATCTCTGTTATACATGTTTAAAACGGAATTGTGAACATCACTTACTAAATTTGTTATTGTTCATCTTGATCAACATAGGTCATAGATATATACTTATTTTTATTTTAACACATAGATATTGATACAAAGAGTTACCAGATACATATGCGCCACACAAATCTCATCCGGTATGTGTGAGGGCTGTGATACTGCCAGAGTACCTAAACTGGAGCGGATGATTTTCTTAGGATGCCAGTCCCCAAGCCTTCGACCTTAAGGTATGATCCACAAGGCAGTGGAGCATCGTAAGGAGATGCAGTCCCATGGAAGCCGGTGACCAACAATTGGTTCATACGCCATTTGTTCCCGCAGGATACTGAAGCCCATTTGCACCATTGGTTTAGAATCCGGTTAAAACTCAGGACATTCGCTTTCGCTCTTCGTCCTCTCATTTTCGTAAACAACACCCCCGCCACGAGAAGGCGATGAGTCGGACTTCCCTGGCAGAGGCTATATACGCGTGGCCATGTTAGAGCCTTTTCAGAGGGAGAGCGGACTCTCACCACTCTGGGCCGTACCAGGGCGTTTGAGGCCACATAGAGATATATATAATAATTTCATAGATTTTATGGAAAATGCATAACTTTATACCAAAGACGATATTAATTATCTTTCTATGTTTGTAATGTAATTCATCGATTCATAATTAATGAAGATTCTATTCACCTAATAGATCCATTTCAAATCTTTTCCATTTTCATACTTCATAGAACGAAACTATGATATGGTTTTAGACATTTTATTGACACGAACAAATGCTCAACGCCAGCAAGTTGCAAATCATTATAAGAAAATCTTTAAAACCGTAAGTTTTAGAATATTTGTCAACCGCTTTTTTAAAATATTTTGTACTCACACCTCCTTTTCTATGTTTCTCAAAAGAAATGAACTATTGTTTAATCGGCTATGGTATGGTCGAAAGTGAGGAGGGTCAGTTCTATTTCTTGTTATGCTTTCAAATTGCCACATGCAGACAGCTATTGACATGGAAGTCCTACTCACTGCCTTCTCGCACCACTGGTATTGTTTGAGAGGAAGGAAGCGAATGTCTGGCGGTTTACCCGGGTTAGTGGACACGGTGAGTTCACCTAGGAGAGTTGAAAAACCCTGACTGTAAACCAATGGTGTCCATGGACTCCAGTATCCTGAAGGAATAAATGGCGTATGAACCAATCGTTAATCACCGGCTACCATGTGACTGCATTTCCTTAAGCTGCTCCACTCCATTGTGGATTAGACATCTAGGTCGATGGTTCCGGGTGTAACCCCCTGAGAAAACTACCTGCTTGGGTTCGGGCACCCAGGAAGTATCCCAGCCCTCATATTTATGAATGCATTATGAGAGTGCTAATTAAACAGTTGTCAACCAAGATTTTCAAAGGTTTATATACATTTACTACATTCAGTAAAATGTTTAAACTGTACTCTTCGTAAACAAACCATACCTTCTATTCGTGTTATCGATTTTCATTAATGTATACCTGAAATATGATAAACATGCATTACATTATATACAAAGATGGATAGTGGATAACAGTGGAATCCAGGACGTGCGTTTTGTCTGATTTGGGACTCGTCAGCTGAGTAATAGCAAGTGGCTATCAAGACTCAGTTACTAAGTAGATAACGCAATATTCTACTGGTTGAGCGCTCGTGCGAGGTCGTGGATGCACACTGCTGAGTCCCACAATAAGGCGAAACGGCCGCCTAGTGCTTCCCGGTTTTCCATGATGGTCTAGCTTCAATTGACTCATGATCTCAACTTTTGAAATATATATTAATCTAGCTGACTTATGAACACCGAAGGTTTTTTCTTTAATGAGCTTTACATATTTTATTCAATCTGAATGCATGAATTTCACATTCGTTTTTACATTAATATTCTTAACTCCACTTTGTTTTCTTCATTCTTTAGTCATTATTGAATGAAATGGATAATGTTGAACCGAATAATTTGAAACTATTACTTCAAGATCTATCAACAGATACATCAGTTTTATTTGCTGAAGAATTGTATAAAGCAATATATACATCAAATTTACAAATGACAACTAGTTTATTGATGGATTTATGGGAAAATGAATTTGATCAAGTGGAAAATATTTATAAATTATGTTAGTAATACAGTAGAAATTATTATAACCACTTAATTACTTACACCTGTTACTCCCAATGGAGTATAGGACGCCGACCAGCACCCTCCAACCCACTTTGTCTTGGACCTTCCTTTCTATTTCTATCCAATTGCTATTCATTCTCCTCATGTCTGTCTCCATTTCACAGTTTAATGTGTCCTTTGATCTTGCTCTCCCCCTATGGCCTTGAGAATTCCATGTGAGGTTTCGCCTTGTGACGTGGTTGGGTGCTTTCCAACACTTCTTCCTGATTTCTTCCTCTGCTGGGATCTGTTTAAATTCATAAAGATCCTGGAGCATAGCTTTAAGTGAATAAACTCCGTAGCTTAGTGAGTTCAGAGTATAAACAAGAGATAGAAACAAATTCGAATGAATCATATTCTTTTTTTGATTGATTCGTTTTGTCCATGTGTGTACATAATTCATTTTACTTGCTTAGATTCGTTTTAAGATCTGATGTATGACTTCACTTCTATAGTCTATTATAGTTTATATTGCCTAATTAAATGTGATATAAATTCACTGCAAGCTACGAAGTACAAGATAGTTTTCAGATTATGCAACTCTTGTTGCTATGTATTGTTGAAATTTGATAAGATGCGATACATAACTGAAGTGTATCAACGTGATATCACATTAGCTACTGAGTCCAGATAGCCACTTGCTTGTTGATCAACTACTGTTTTCATATTAATTTATAATTGTTTTAGTTATAACGTTTTGTATAATTTGACTACAGTTGAATCAAATACTGGCCATCTGAACTCATCAAATAAGAGGATAACGTGTTGTTTTTGAAGCCCAAAGTATCAGGTATGAATCATAGAATGAGCTTCAATATCCAGGTACACTCAGCTGACTAGTCCTAAGAAGTCTGGTGTATTCTTGAAAAGTATAGGTCTTAAAAACACAGAAATGAGAGATTTAACTGAATGAACACCCAATACATTAACTTTCCGATCATCATCATTTTTACTTATTGTCATTTTGTTCTGATACTGTAGTTTGAATGATTCAAAACCAATAAATTCAAAAGTCACAGTTGGATTCATTCAATTCTAGTTAATTTATCAACTGTTTTATGATTAGACTGAATGAATAATCTTCTAGTTTAAGTATTCGCTACAGAAATTTCGTTAAAGCATAATGAAAATTTTGCCACTTCAAGTCACATTTGGAACAATGAAAGACTAACATGGTATTCAATTCGTTCTACAGATCTTCTCTCATTTTATTGATAATCATAGTCCAGTATAGCGTCGTTTTTTATGGAGTTTTGTTCTTTGAGCTGGAGTGTTTGGTAAAAGTTTGTACTAATGATTTAGTTCAGAAGAACGACGAAAGCTCTAAGACCAAACCATTCAGCTCAAAGAACATAACTATCAAAATCATTCACCTGAGCTACAAATCTCCACCATCCCAAAATCATATAAGCGTAGTATTCTTTTAGTTATTCAAAAATGGGCGGAATTTGCCAGAAGGCAGGCTTTTACTCGAGAACAGCTGTACTTTCTCCACGAGTGTCCACATCAGCATGTTCTACCAATAATGTCGTTTCTCCAATATTCAAATTCCTTTGTTATATTGGAACACATGGTAAGAGAAAACCACATTACAATCTAATGCTAACCCATAAATGAGACTGATTCTATTGTCATATCCATCAATTATAGTCACTTTTATGTAATTTTTGACAGGAGTTCCTGTTTTGTTTAAATAATGAATGGCGCTCCTCCTCGAGGAGTAACAGGCTTATGTAAGTAAGTAAGAACAAAAAAGTATAAAAAAAGTTGACATTCAATTTTGCACTGTCTTTTAACATTACAGATTCGAATGAACCGATTTGGAAGAGTATAGAAAAACGATTTGGAAAATCTACACAAGAATTTATACAATGTGTAGTTGAAACAAGAAAAGTTAAAATTAAAGAACAGCTAACGGAAGGTGATGTTTATAAGCCAATAGTTAATATGAGTGAAGTTAATAAAACGTTTCATGTTTTGTTAAAACAAATGAATTCAATGTAAGTCCATCCTTGTTTCAATATATATGTTAAGGGAATATATTGACTCTACTAATTTCTTTCCAGTTAGTTTAACATCGTGGTTTTACATTAATACATATTATTAGAGTGGGGTTTTGTAGATATTACAGTAACTTAATTGTTGAATTTATGAGTCAATTAAGCTAGACCGCCATGGAAAACCTTGGGAGTACTGGACGGTCGTTTCGTTCTAGTATGGGACTCCTCACGATCCCGCCCAGCGAGACTCGATCTCAAAACCTATCAGTCTCGCACGCGAGCGCTCAACCAGTAGACCACTGAGCCGGCACCAAACGGTGTTTGATGTTTAACTTCAACCAATCCACGAAGTTGCATCACCGCTCGCAAGACTGATAGGTCCTGGGTACTCATAATCACTCTTACCTGACGTTTGCTTAAACACGACGCTTGGTGTTCTGTTATACGATGACGAAATCGCCGAATTGTACGCCCTATATGACTGGCTCCAAAGGAGCAGTTGAATCGATAAATACACATAGATTTGGCGAATTATGGCAATCTGTCTTTATTAGCCGTTTTTATGGTGGGGTGGTTGTAAAAGAAAACGCTCAGTCTGGCTGCATTAAATATGTTTTACCGCTCTTCTTAATCTCTGAGTCACAATTTCTTCAGTATTATCATTTAGGAATTGTAATTATAAGAACAACAATCTCTTTAGAACGGTAGGTACCCTCATTCTACTTTTCATCTCCTTCATGTGTTTTTCAATGAATTTCGTTGGGTATCCATTCCTACTAAGGAAGTTACGAATGTTATCCAGTTCATCTACAATTATATCATCCGAGCAAATCATCCTAGCACGAGGAGTCAGGGTCTTGATCAAGTTTCTTTTGTATCTTATTGGTACTGTACAATAGCGCAATACTGAATTCGCCACATGCTCCTGTTGATCCAGTTATATAGGGTGTACAATTCTGCAACTTTGTCATCCTATAACAGAGCACCATCCGTCGTGGTTGATTTATGTTTGCTTTATAAATGAATAAATCAGAAAAGTTTGGATGAATAATTATTGTTTATTTTGACTTAACTACCAAATAACCGCCTAATGGATGTAGTTCGTGATGCGATACAATAAAATTTACCTCTCCTTTAATCAGATTAGTTACACTTAATGTTTCTTAGAAAGTCGTTATTCTAAAAAATCTAACCAACTATACTACCTACGCAACTGTATGACTAAATCTTACCTGGGACTGGATTACCATATAGACAATGTATATTTCAAGTATACAATTCCTGTATCTAATTGTGAACGTCTTGGATATCTAATTGACAACCACAATTTCGTTGCAATGACTGGTAGTGAAATCCAGGGAGGGCGTTTCGTCCTATTCGGGACTCATCAGTTGAACGTATCTGCATCTTACGGCTGTTATTCACTCTTGGAGTCGAACCCAGTACCGTTGACTTCCAACGCTATCGCGTTATCCACTTAGCTACTGAGTACTGATAGTCATCTGCTTGTACAATGGGGTGAAGTTTTATATTCACTTGATGGTATTTACTTGTATCTTCTCATTGCTTTTTAGCACTGCAATTCATTAGTAAGTTATCCGCTACGAAGTCAATAATACACAAGACGATAGTCTTCATAGTCATCATCATCTTAGTTTAAAAACATGTATTTTGACTTCGAAGTAAAACTAAGCTGTACATGATAAATGGTACTGTATGTGTGAATTTTAGATTATTCATCACATTTTTACTTAGTTTTATAGCAACTCTTTTTATCTGCTTTACAATTTTGATTTTCTAACTTTATCCTGAATTTTATTGATTTCAGGGAACATAATCAGCAACAGTTAAGTAATCTTCTGTGTAAACTTAATCCATTTCAAATAGATGAATTAGATATGATGTACCAACGAGTGAGTAAATCAACTGATACTATTAACTATTCCTATATAGATATATATATTAAAAACGTTATAACAGCTTTATAAGCAACGATGGATAGTGGCTAGCAGTGAAACCCAGGACGTGTCTTACGTCTTATTTGGGACTTGTCAGCTGGATGTATCTGCACCGCGAGTTGATGTTCACTCTGGGAGTTGAACTTACTACCGTCCGATTCAAACATCATTACGTTATCCTTTTCGCTACTAAGTCGTGATAGTCTCCTGCTTCTGCAACGGGATGAAGTTATATTCACTTGGTGTCGTTTTTTACTTGCATCTTCCCAGTGTTATTTATGACTGCAACTGATCAGTCTCTTATTGACATATGTAAATCTTATGCGGACTCCCTCGATATTATAAATAAATAAAAAATTTGTAATATCCAAATGAGTAGAAAATTAGATTTTCTGACGTTTCGTGACTTAGTGTAGGTCACTTCTTCAGAGCATAAATAACCAAATTAAAATTAATCCATTTTTAAATAGTACAACGGAACAATGCAAGAATAATATTTGATCAATCAAAAACAGGTCTGAACAAGTTAATGTCATGTCATTTCTGTCAAGGTGATTCATAAGTGATATGTATGTAAATTTGTGTGTGTATGTATGTGTGCATTGTTCAGGAATGAAAACTTGTGTGACCTTTATGGTAAGAAAGGATAGAGTTTAAATTTGTAATATGATAGTGTGAAATTGTAAATACGATCAGACTGAATGGCTAGGATAGATGGTCCAAGTAGGATGTATGGTGAGGCCTTCCTATCTACTGAGAGAAGTAGGATTAAGCATTATATGGAATGCCTGAGCTACCCTCCTTTCTTTGTAGTTGGAAGATCTTTTTTGCAATATTTTGATGTTTTTATAATCAATTTGGTGGTTGTTGAAAATGGCATGAACTGCTAATGCCGATTTAATTTGAATTTGATCCAATTCTACAGGATTGTTAGGAGGTTTCTTTGTGTACCTAATATGTTCTTTGGCTCCAGTCAAGATTTCGCGGGATGACTCTCCAATATAATAGGCATCACAATCGATACAACCTAATTTGTAGACGCACTTCTGTGTGGACATGAAAGGGATTTTGTCTTTCAGGCGAACTAAAGTATTACGTAGTGTGTTCGTTGTTTTGTAATATACTTTAATTCTGTGATGTTTTAAGATTCTTCAGATTTCTTCTGTTGTGTCATGACGGCATGGTAGAACTGCAGTACCAATCCATGGCATTTCATTCAAATCATTATTATAACGTAATAAACTGTTTTGTTTTAATATGCTTCTAATAATCTTCATAGGAAAATTATTAAATTGTAAGATGCTGATTACATTCATTTGTTCTTTTTGTTTGTCTTCCTCTGATGTGATGATCTTGTTAGCTCTTCTAAAAAGATTTAAGGCTAGCGAGATCTTAGCACTGAACGGATGTGCTGAATGGAAGTCAATATAACGATTGGGGTGTGTAGGTTTCCGGTAAATGGATAGGTTTAGAATTCCATTTGGATTTCTTTTTACTAAGCAATCCAAGAATGGTAGCTCACCATGTACATTTTCATTTTCATTCGTGAATTTGATGTGCGATGAAAGTGTATTTATTCGTTTTGAAAAAGATCTTAGATGAGTCTTTTTTAGAACAACAAATGTATCGTCTACATATCCAAGCCAAATTCATGGCATAATGTTGTGCGCGAAGATATTTGGTTCTATGTATGCTATAAAAAGGTTGGCTACAATCGGAGACAGCTGGGATCCCATTGCTACACCGCTAGTTTGTTTGTATAAAATACCGTTAAAAGTAAATAGAGTTGAATTTAAGCAGAGTTTTAGTGATCTCATGATTAGACTGATGCTCAACGGACATCTGTCAGGAAGAGTAATGTTGTTCTTAAGTAAACCACTAATATATTCTAAGCATTTGTCAATGCGAATACTGGCGTATAAAGATACAACATCAAAGCTTACCATGAATTCATTTTTCTCGATGATTAATAAAGATAATTTTGATTTAAAGTCATATGTATCTTTAATCATATTATGTAAGTTGAGCTTTAGTGGTTTTAATATATTGCTTAGATATTTCGGTAATGCATATGTTGGGGTGTTTGTGAAGTCTACTATCGGTTTTAAAAGAAAACCTGGTTTATGAATTTTTGGTAAGCCATAAAACCGTGAAACATTACATGATTTGGGATGCAGAGCAAACCAGAGCGAGACCCAAATGATAGGTTTTAGCTCTTTCAACAGTTGACTTGTTTCTGATTTGACTTTATTCTTAATCGATATTGTCTGAAGTCACAATCTTTATAAGCAAAGATGGATAGTGGCTAGCAGATAAGAGACTGATCATTTGCAGTCTTAAATAACAATATTAAGATACAAGTAAACAACACCAAGTTATAACAGCTGTTATATGTGATCGTATGTGTGAATTCTGCAATGAATATTTGGAAACAGTATTATTTGTAGTTGATGTAAGATAAAAATCCAATTGTTTTTCTCAATGACAGTGATCTGATTTTGATTCTGACTTTATTTTATTGAAAGGATTTCAAGAGAAAGTCCTCTGAACTGATTGAACGTGGATCAACTGGTGAAATGCATGATTTATTAATGTCATTGTGTAAGTATTATTCATCTAGTTTTCTTTGTGTTTAACCTTAATCTACTTAAATTGTGAATGTGATGAGGTCAATAGAATACTATCAATATACATATATTAGTTAATTATCAGCTGAGTAAACGAATAAAATTATAATTCAACATAAACGTGTTTATAATTGTTCCTGTGTACCTATGGACATAAGCCAATTCTGTAACCTCTTTTAGCTAATAAAAATATTTTTTTGAAGATTGTTTACACAGTTGGAAGGCTAACACAATCATTCTCTTATTGCGCGATTATCCAGGTATCGGAATACTTACGAACGTTTATATATATATATATATATATATATATATATATATATATATATATATATATATATATATATATATATATATATATATATCACATGAAAGGAAATTTTCTGCTATGTTTCTACTCGATAATATTCACGTTCTGTAGTCGACAAAAAACTTAAAAACGTTTAACAAATTAGAGTAAACACAGGCTGAGCTCCTAAGTTTGGGGAAATTTTAGAGAAATCCTCAAAAGTCAAATGATGTTGACCAAGGTTAAACGGGAATTTCTGGGAAATATTGGAAAATTTCCTCAAATCTAGTGAAATTTTGAGGCTTTTGTGTCATTTCTACGAAACTTCTTTAACGTTTACTATGGCGGTGTCCAAAATATTTCCCTAAAATGGATCAAATTTTCCCCAAAACCAGTAGCTCGGGACGGGATGGAGACTTGTGACCAAGGACCTATAAACTAACTATTCTATAGCTTCTCAGCCCCGCCAACTAGAGAAAGTGGTCGAAGTCTGAACGTGAAAATATATTCCGCAAAAAGCCAGAGGCACGAGCGATAACAACAGACAAATCAAATCGTATATGTACAACACAAAACCGTCCTTAAGAAGTGTTACAAAATAGGACACTAAAACACAACGAATCAAAAGCGTTGGGATTCTTCCAAGTGGGAAACATGACATGAAGATGAAAAGAGTGATTTGGAGCAAAAACAAGGAAATTCAAATTTTCAAAATAAAATTACAAAATTAGGACCTATTTCAAGTGAGTTCTAGGGATCTAACGTTCCCAACAATTTTTCATCGCATTGCATTACCTAATGACAAACTGGATTCAGTAGCCAAGTGTTTTACCTGTTTACGTTTCACCCAAGAGTTACTGAGTTCACGGCAATCTTCACAGGATTCTCATAGCCCAAACCGGACTGATCAATTCTGGTGCTCCAAATCGATTTTGAACAATCTGGTCAAACATGTACTTGTCAGGGAATTTTATAGGAGCTTTAATAAAAGTCATTTAGATAGTGTAATAAGAAGACGAATATTATCAGAACTATGTGTATTTAAATAGTTCTGATAATCTTCGTTTCGTGATGGAATTTTGTTCTCTGAGCTGGATGGTTTGGTCGTGAAGCTTTTATCGTTCTTCTGTACGACATCATTAGTACAAACTTCAGATAGAAGTGAAGTGCTCGAATTTCTCCACATGTGGTTCACAGCTTGTACTGTAGACCTCGATGTTGACTGGTTCTTTCTGACCCCAAACTTGTCATTGTTTGCTGCTTTATTTTGATTCTATCTTGTACTGGTTTGATTTTTGTTCCAATATTTGTCCTCCGTAAGCTCCGTGATCAAACCATCCAGCTCGAAAGACAAAACTTCATCAAAATTATTCACCTGAGCTACAGATCTCCACCATTTTAAAATACTTGTCTTCTTATTACACTATCGAACTTTATCAAAGGAACTAGTTGCTTTAAAGTTCATTGCATTTCTAGTAAGGATTACTCATTAATAATAGACTGACTTTTCATTTACACCATTTCAGATACTTATTCTGTTATGAAACCAACGTATTTTGCTACATTAATTCATGATGCACTTTATAAAGAACCTATCAATACGTTAACTGCTCAACGTTTGCTTATTTTCCGTTCAGAAGTAAGTTTATGTGAAATAAACGACATCTTTCCTAGTTATTGTTTATCCATTTTCAGTTTAAATATGTTATAAGGCTAATCATAATATCTTTCAAATAATCTAATCCGTTTCCGAATGTGTATACGTAACAAACTCTAGTTATTACTTACTTACTTACTTACTTACGCCTGTTACTCCCAATGGAGCATAAGCTGCCTTACCAGCATTCTCCAACCTGCCTGAAGCCCCATAGAGTTACTGCTGGTCCCGAGCCGGGATAAAGGAGAAGGGTTGTGGATGGAGTTAACGACCCCATCCCGTAGAAGAATAACTCTCTTAAAAAGGCTAACCACAAAAAAATAATTCAAACAAGTTAAACTCTGCTTCAGGGAGCTAGAAGGTCTTCATTTAGAAGTATTATGACGCCTCAAGATGAAAGCCGATGCTGATGCCTATTCCGACAATCAAAGCAACTATTAATTTAGGTCCATGGAATGCTTTTACAATGCGGAAGACCTGGAAAGTCTTTCAAATTGCTGCAGAAATGAAGAGATACTACCTGAAGTTGCTTGGAATCAGTGAAACTCTAGTTAACTGTTGAGTTGAATTATTTATAACTAGGTCGATATGAATCACAATGGGGGGAATTATCTGAAGTGTTATTTTTTTCTTGGATTATGCTTACTCACAAATCATTATTCTTGAATGCGAAACGACGGTGTATCAGATGCATTATTAGCTTTAGATATGTGATTATTGTGTTTACATTGCGTGAGATCATTCATTCTTAATTGTAATGTGAAATGTATGCATTCTTCTTTTCTATTATGAAAGGAGCTTTGAGGAACTTTCGAAAGATTTTGAATGATTTGTCAATGAAGAACTAGGTGATAATCTGCAGTCTTTAGTGACAGATTCTGAATCGTTTCGACCGTAAATTTAACGTAGTAGTGTACGGCACTTAGACAGTTGTATATTGATGGAGTACATAGGTTCAGATATAATCCGAGGTATAAATCTGGCTTCATAAAGTCTCAGAACATTCTGTGCATCGACTTTAATATTTTAGACGTACAGAGTCGTCCAATATCTTGAAGAAAGTATAGACAAATATTTGAGCGTAATAACGTCAATTTTACTCATTTCATCTGCATCATGATACGGTGCGTACACCCTGTAATATTTACTGATCAAAATTTCAAAATACTTTGAGGACACCTACACAACTCAATCTTTTTGGACGCATTTATTATCAGTAGACATCAACATGAGTTCCCAAGTATGTAAGAAAATTATATATGAATGAAAATTCATTACATCGACAGTTACAAAACAGCAACTGTGTTAGAAATAAGTAGTTATGTGACAAACAAGCACTAGTTTTAAATAGAACAACGTTCATTAACGCTTACTAGTAGATTTGAGTTTACAAATTATTCAAATCTGTCAGCACAGGAGTTCTAGGTAGGATCCATGAATAATTGAATTCAATTACGTCTGGTGTAAGACAGTTATCCACATCAGGCAATGGGAGATAGAAGCACAATTCGGTGAACTGACTAAAGTTGAATATTAAAACCACTGGATTCTAGCTGAGAAAAACCAAGGGTCCTGAGTTCTATTTTATTTGACGAGTTTATGATTGAACAGTGCTGAGGAGTTCTGTACTCAGATGAAACAACCTTAATGTGCTTAAGTGTTTCAAACGTCTATCTTTTAGTAACTGCAGAAAATCCATGATCGTCACAAAACCTTATAAAGCTGGAATTATTCAGCAAGATTTACTTTACTTTACTTACGCCTGTTACTCCCATTGGAGCATAGGCCGCCGACCAGCATTCTCCAACCCACTCTGTCCTGGGCCTCCTTTTCTAATTCAATTTAATTCTTGTTCATCTTTTTCACGTCTATTTCCATTTCTCGGCGCAATGTGTTATTTGGTCTTCCTCTTTTCCTTTGACCTTGAGGATTCCATGTGAGGGCTTGTCTTGTGACGCAGTCGTGTGCTTTCCTCAATGTGTGTCCTATCCACTTCCAGCGCTTCTTCCTGATTTCTTCCTCCACTGGGATCTGGTTTGTTCTCTCCCACAGTACGTTGTTGTTAATACCGTCCGGCCAACGGATCTGAAGTATTTTGCGTAGACAACTGTTAATAAACACCTGTATCTTCTGGATGATGGCTTTCGTAGTTCTCCAGGTTTCCGCCCCATACAGTAGAACTGTCTTGACATTTCTATTGAAAATCCTGACATTGGTATTGGTTGACAGTTGTTTTGAGTTCCGGATGTTCCTCAGTTGTAAATATGCTGCTCTTGCTTTACCGATCCGCGTCTTCACATCTGCATCGGATCAACCATGTTCATCAATGATGCTGCCCAAATATGTAAAGGTTTTTACATCTTCCAAATCTTCTCCGTCAAATGCCTTTTCGTAGTCAATGAAGTTGATGTAGAGTGATGAATTCCACAATGATCCGTAGAGTTGCGATTTGGTCTGTACACGATCTATCCTTACGGAATCGTGCCTGTTGGTCACGAAGTTGGGCGTCTACGCAGTCCTTCATCCTGTTTAACAATACCCTGTTGAAGACGTTTGTTAGTTCTGATGCTCTTTATCACTTGTTTGTTTACTTCTGTGTATTCAGCTTGTGCCTTGAATTTTTCTGCTCTTGTTCGGCTGGTATTGATTGCTGCCTTCTTGTTCCTTCTTTCTTGAATCTTATCCAGTGTATCAACAGTGATCCATTCCTTGTGATGGTGCTTCTTGTGACCCAGGACCTCATGACATGTTGAAGTAATTGCCTCTTTGATCCCCTTCCAGTTGCTCGCCACAGTACTTCCTTCTTCATTGAGTAGATCATGAAAGGCCTGGAACTTGTTGCTGAGGACTATCTTGAATTTGTTGAGTTTATTAGTATCCTGAAGAAAGGCCGAATTGAACTTTTGTGATAATGTCCGCCCCATTGTCCAGTGCTTCTTGAGTTTCAATTTTATCTTGGCGACCAGCAAGTAATTATCTGAGGCTATATCAGCTCCTCTCTTGGTTCTCACGTCCTCTATAGTCCTCCTGAACATTTTGTTGATGCAAATATGGTCGATTTGGTTTTGCGTGGTGTGATCCGGTGAAGTCCATGTGGTTTTGTGTATGCGTTTATGTGGGAATATGGTGCCGCCTATGACCAGTTTATTGAAGGCACATAGGTTTGCAAATCTCTCACCATTTTCGTTCCTTTCTCCCAGTCCATGTCGTCCCATGATGTCTTCATATCCAGTGTTGTCCGTTCCAACCTTGGCGCTGAAATCTCCCATCAGAATGGTCAATTCCTTTGTTGGGCACTTCTCGACGATTGACTGCAGCCTATTGTAGAATTGATCTATAGCATCTTCATTGTAGTCGTTGGTAGGCGTATAGCATTGGATGATATTCGTTGAAATGCCCTCCTTTTTTGTTTTGAACGAGGCTTTGACGATCCTTGGTCCGTGAGATTCCCATCCTATAAGTGCATTTTGTGCTTGTTTGGACAGCATCAATGCAACTCTTTGTGTATGTGGAGCATTTTCTTCTTCATAGCCGGAGTATAACAGAAGCTCTCCTGAAGTTAGTCGCTTTTGTCCAACTTACGTCCAATGTGTTTCACTGATCCCATGTACCTCTAGGTTGTATCTTCTCATTTCTGCAGCAATTTGTAAGGCTCTCCCGTTGTCCCACATTGTACCTAAAAAAAATGGTCGCTCTGGTTGTCACAAGGGGCATCGGCCTCGTAACTTCCGAAGGAATTCGGCCTTCATCATGAGGCGTCACAGTTCTTCTAAATGAAGACCTTCTGACTCCCAGGGCAGAGTTTAAAATGTTTGAATAATGTTTTCTGGTTAGCGTTTTTTAAGGAGTTAGTTTTCTATGGGATGGGGACGCTAACCACATGCCCAACCCTCCTCCTTTATCCAGGCTTGGGACCGGTAGTAGCCCGGGCGGAGTTTTCAGCAAGAACATAGTGGAAAATCAAATAATCATGTATTCAAATAAATGAAAGTATTTGAAAGTTCTTTACAATAGATTTATCTTTTACCAAGTTAGGAAAAATGTATCAACATATTTTCAGGTTGCTGACAGCTGCGATTCATCTCTTTAACAAATTTTAGAAAACCGTAACTTATCTATACTTAGATTTTTCAAGGTTTCGATGCGATATCATTACAAACCATTTTTTTCTCTCTAGACAAAGAAATAATCAAAACGTTTATGATTATTACGAGTTTCTCTCTGATTCATAAAGTGACTTTGGCAGGTAGATAATAACTGGTGGACACCAAAAGAGGTACTTCGAAGATGGGGATTATTAGTAACCCTGGATTGACTAATTATTCACATTATTTCATTGTGGAATCATAGTTTGGTTGCAGGGTTTTATCTGAATATGAATCGATATGATGTACAGAATCTTAGTTTCTTTTTCTCACATTCCCTCCTCACTATTCATCTGACGAAAAGTCTAAAACGTATTTCTGACTTATAACTTATTGTTAATGATATTTCAGATTGATTTACAAACAGTATGTGATTTATATGAAGCGGAATATGGAATCAATTTGTCAGATGATGTAAAACAGAAGTATTTCAATGGACAAGATAATGCTTTGACAGTTCTTTTAAGGATGCGACAATCAATTATCTTTTAATCTTCATAGTAGTTGTTCCTTTAAAGGAATTTTTATTAAACATTATACTGTTCTTTTTAAATCTCTATATTGGTTTCTTAAAAACAGAATGATTTAAATCACTTAACAGTTATTTGCTTTAACTAACTTATTCATTCCGGAATCTTGTGTTATTATGCTAAGCAACCTAAATTATAATTAGAACAAGTGATTAACCACACACAATGCTAATTTTTCATATTTATTTGTTTTGTACAATGGATATGCTGGACATTTTTCGTTTGAGATACATCTTTGTATGTTGACTACAGTTTTAATTTTGTCACACATAATCTGCTAGTGAATAAACTCTTTGCTGTACGTAAGATAGAAACCATAGGCGCAAGACATGTGGATTATGAACTTATTACTGTTGTGTATAATACTACTTCTGTTAGTGCAACGAGCTGATGTCAGTTCGTGATGAAAACCATAAATCTAATTACTAACCCTTAACCATTAACAGTAAATCATATTTCCAGTTTCTCACCATATTTTATAACCCTCATTTGGTCCTAGTTTATATGTGGCATTCTCAAGGTCACATTAGCGTCGCTCAAAGGCCGTCAATAAATTAAAGTCTCACCCAGGATAACGAAAAGAAATAATCAACGTGCTGTAGTTATGCTTAACATTTTGAAAGGCTTGTGGCCTCAAAAGCATTTGAATGGATTATAAAAACTCTGGCACCCTTACCAAAAACTGATAAAACTATCCATAAAACGTACTGTTTCATACAATAAACTCTACAGTTGATGAATAAATGTTATGGTGTCATACAAAATAAAAACTTTTGTGAAATGATTGAAATTGGATTTGAAGATAATCTATTTTGATGCTCAAATTTTACCACACTTTGAATAATTATATCAGATTCTTTAGTGTACAATAATCCAGCAAATTAAAACTGCAATGTTGTCAAACAACGAATACAATTATTTAATAATTTATGGTATGAATAGTTTTAATGTTCATGTATATACCATATTATTTACTTACACCCATTACTCCCAATGGAGCGCAGGACGCCGACCAGCATTCTCCAACCCACTCTGTTCTGAGCCTTCTTTTCTAGTTCTATCCGATTGTTGTTCATTCTTCTCATGTCTATGTCCGTTTTTCGGCTTAATGTGTCTTTTGATCTTGCTCTCCTCCTTTGGCCTCAAGTGTTCCAAGTGAGGTTTTGCCTTGTGACGTGGTTGGGTGCTTTCCTCAATGTATATTCAGCACTTCGTCCTGATTTCTTCCAGGTATCATTCCTTGCGGTTTTTTGGTACTTGTTCTTCATCCCAAATCTTGCTGAAGAGAATGTGGGGTATCTTTTCAGCTACTGATACATCTGCAGGAATGTTTACTGGTCCTGTTCCTTTTCGTCTCTTGATTTGTCCGATGTTCATGCCGTATAATAAAGTATGAATAACTACTTAGATATTAGGGTACATAATAATGTATCTTTAAGATGTATCTTGAATACTGATTATCAAACACTGAAAATGATTTGACCTGAGTTATGGAAGACCTTATACAATTGTCATACGATTTGGAGATCTTTTATTATCACTGCCTCACAGTTACTGGTGACTTTACAATCATGTATTATAATACTAATAGGAACATAACTTTCTAAATTCAGACTTCTTAGCTGATCTTTAAACTCTAGAGATAGAATATTGTTGTAAACAGAAAGTCCGGTTCGGGAACGGAATTGATTCAAAAACTGATTAATCTTCCAAGAACACAGAGTATTTACAACATTACCAATGGTCACCTTAAACTTGCTGATATTCTTAGAAAACAAATACTATAGCACTGTTTTTGGCATTTGACTAATCAAATTGAGATTCCTGTATTTTTCACTGAGTTGAAAATAATAATCTAATAATGTAATGTGATCGTTTGTCAAATGAACTTCATCAGTTTGAATGTTTCCACCATGCCGTATATGATTGGTAGGTTGCCAACATAAATTTAAACAGTATTTTATGGTCCTACATTTAAATCCAGTTAGATCGTATGATGATTGTTGTCGAAATATGCACTCCGAATGCTCACGTATATAATTATACGTGATTAAATCATGTTAGACAATAACGAAATAAGCCAATTACGAGAATGAATTTTGAACACATGCTTTTCTGACGGTAGCTCTTCTAGGGTTATTACCGGTCTGCAGCCCGGGTAAAGTAGGAAAGCTAAGCATGAAATCAGCAACCAAATCTCATAAAAAACAACCTTGATAGAAAGACGTTATTCAGAATATATACTTTAAACCATTTAAAATCGATCCTCCGAGTTGTATGAACTTCATTCAGAAAAAATATGACACCTCGTAGCGAAAGTCGAGATTCTTCGGAAGTCATGGTGACGATGCTACTCCTAAAAACCAGAGCAATAATAAATATGCGTACATGAAACGTCCTGACAATGTGGGAGACCGTGAGGACTAAGCAAATAGCTACGGAAGTGAGTAGATAAAACTTGACGGTTCTCCGATTCGGTGAGACACATTGAACCGAATCTGAACAGAAAATGTTAGGTACGGGAGAGATGCTGTTGCACTGTAGTCAAGAAGTAGGAAATGTCTAGAAGACTCAGAGCATCCATCGAAACAAAGGACGAGAGAATCACAATGAATGTTTTCCTCTTTTATGCACCCACCAATGACAACGAGGAAAACGATCAAGATAAATTCAAAGAGAAGTTTCAGTCAATCATAGATAAGTCCCACGGAAAAATATGACCATCCAAAGTAAGAATGGACGGCAACGGTTATGAAGACATCGAGTGACGACATGAACTGGGAGAGAGGAACCATAATTGTTTCAGATTTGCAAGTTTACGTGCCTCAATAAATTGCATATATATGGCACAATGTTTCCACACAAACACACAAAGCTTAGTGGGTCTGACCTGATCACACTACAGACAACCAGACAGATTAGATTTGTATTGGCAAAAACTTCAGAAGGATAACAGAAGAACTGAAAACCAGGAGAGGAGCTGACATAGTTTCAAATCACCACCTAGTTGTTGACAGAGTGAAACGCTAGCTGACAAAGGATCAGATTAACGGAGATATAACATCACAAAGGTTTATTACCGCATTCATTCGAAATACTGCCAAACTCAATGAATTCAAGATAGCTTTCAGCAGCAAGTCCCAAGCCCTACAACATCTCACTGGAGAAGAAACTAATGTGTGTTATGCTCTTATGTCTTTTTAAATATCATATGACTAAATTGCCAATTAAAACATCGACGCACATAACCTCGGCACTGTTCATAATCAATGACGCGTTAACTAATACCAGCAGCTTAGAGTCAATGCATCACTCTACAGTGAACAACTAAGTGACAATTTCTGACAACATAAATGTAACTCAGTTGGAAACTTAAAAACTTAGTGAAGGTGAAAGGAAAACAAAAACTAAAATCAAATACAAATATCAACATCACAAATGGAATCAAAACGACTGACCGAACGTACAACTGAAGGAATCAATAGAAATAAATTACATATGTAAACACGGAGACATTCCCACACACAAAATCTTCGAAATCGATATTAGACATACCTTGTCCCTTGTTGAGATCGGTAGATCTAAATACAATACATAGTATTCAGTAGGTTAATAAAACATCTAGTACACACATGAATTCAATGATGATGTGAATGTGTTATATCACATTGACTATAACAGCAATACATAGGACTCAGACCACTCAACAACTGAAAACCATAATCGATTGAATATATTTCACCACAATGATCGATTGCATGATTTTATGCTCAAATGGTATTATTTTCTTTCTCTCAATAGTTCACTGGTTTTCATCCTCATTCGGTTATCCTCAAATTTATTGGTCACTCACTCGTACGTTTCTTTCTGTTTGTTCATTGATTAATCCATTAATTTAAGTAAAGAAAAAGTGAAGGAATTCCCACGCACATTTTATATTCTCGTAGATTTTCTCGATTATAAGTTTAAAACGTAATACACGATCAAAGTACCTTATTGATTTCCTCTTCATAAAATTGACTTAGTAACATCCGGCGTAATCGAATGCCAAGAAAGTTAGATATATTAAACTGGAAATTGTATTCATGAGAAACTTTTTGAAAGAATGATGCCATTGTGATGGCTATCAAAGGTCGAGATCAGTTGAGAGTGGTTTAGTTGAATATGAAAATGTTTTATTACGTAAGTTTGATGAGAACAAACACTGAGTGAAGTTACTTGAACTTTGATAAACTGACCACATACTTGGTGATTAATAGATATGTGGATAGATAGATGTGTGAATAGTTTGATGATGCTGATGACTGAAATGAGTCGTTCATCCGTCAATGCGTAGTCTGTGAAAACTGTGACAAAATTCCCACCACCATCTGCTCATCTGATCTGTTTGTAACAATATCATATCTATGGTAATTTAGATCATCAATTTACCAAGACAAATTCAACCATGTGTAAATGGAAAAATGTACAATTTTACTTTGGCTTGCTTGTGTTGTATGACTGTTGTTAAATGACAAACTATGTTTTCCACCACGTTATATTCGATTACGATACGACTATCAGTGAAGATTTTATGGATTTGTGATACACGTGATGAGTAACAAATTTTTTCTTTCCATTCTGTTGTAACGTGTGTTTTGTCAGTCACTTTTGAGCGTTGAGGGCTCATTTCGAGCGATGGTTTGATCGAAACTAACTAGCAAACTTTCTGTTTAATTCTCGCTTAAAATCATTTTCAGTTTTTGATTACTTATGATCTTTGGAGGAAATCTAGATGCGTTTGTTTGCTGCTCTGAAGAATAATTTGAAGCACTAAGATTTCAGAGAATATTTGTTCAACTGAGGATGATCTACTTAGTGATGGCAATCACATTTAGCAACTCCCTCTATGGTAAAAAATCGAACATTGATAACTTCGGTTAGAAGCACTGAACACTTCTCATTCCCGTTCTCGACTGACCTACTGAAAGTCATCTCATTAGGATACACGCTAGTTATATGTTGACCGTTTAAACAATAAACATGTTTACTGAATTCCAACCCATATTCTAGCTGGACCAGAAGGTTCGCTATTATTGTTTATTCTTGCCATGGACCTTTCAACAAATAGACATCTTCGAGAGATTTGATAACCTCCTGAATATTTGGTTATGTTATTTTGACCAATTTGTGTCAAGTTATATAAACTTATATTGACTAGAAACTTTTGAGAATTATTCAACTTGATATGTTTGATCTTAACTGTACAATGAAACGGGTTTAAACATTTATGAAATCACATGTGTAATTAAAAGCATTTCAATGATTTACATGCTGTGTATGCCTTTGATGTGGTACGTATATTATGTTTTCGATAATATAAGGATCGTTATATTGTAATTTCTACTGACGACCCATGTAAGCTGACTCATGGTCTATAAACTAAGCGTTCACGTACGAGACCGAAGTTCCTGTTTTCCACTTTTGAATGCGGGTTTTGGGTACACATTGTTGAGAAGAACCATATCAGAGAGAATCTGTGGTCCCGCGCCGCCAAGTTCTTAATGGAGGTCTAGCTAAGATCGGTTCGTAATTTAAACTGATAATCTGGCAAATTTGATCTAGGGTGCATTGATTGTACAGGAACTAATTTTACAGTTTGGAAACATTGAGCTCTGTTGGTACTTCGGACAAATTTGTACATCAGATGTGATGCAAAATCTAATTGGCTGCTGCGAGTATAATAGGTTAGTTATGGAAAGTGAACGCCAGTGTAGATATGGATCAAATAATATTCTACAGTTGACATGCAGCACTACAGTTTACACTTGAAGTGAAAAACAAAATCTCAACTTCTTAATAAGGAGATGGCAAACAAACCTTCGGCAACTGTGAGAAGATTCGTTTACTGAAAGCTTTGATGAAGTGACCGCTCAGCAAGCTTCCACAGCTGAGCTTTTGCTACAAAGAAGACAAACTTAATTACACCGCTCGTAGCATCAATACAGCGAATTCTCAGTCTTGATTTAATAAACGGAGAATAAGTCCTTTAGAAGAACGTTCTTATCGAATATGCATAATCAACGAGATTTGTTGACAAAAATAAGAAGCTCAATCTGCAAAAACAGTCTGTTACCTATCCTATGTTGGCTCTTCTATTCAGCTGCACTTGTACGCATATTTTGTAATTTACAAGCCATTCGTTGAACTAAAATTGTGGTTGTCGTCCAGTTGACCCTTGTTAGTCAACAATTCAAGGAAAAATCACTCTCATCTTGCATGGACATTTATAAATTCATCT